CTGCCAGTGTTGCTGCCCTGGTATTGCAAAGGGATGGTGGACAATTTCCCTTTTGGTTTTCTCCTGGGGTCTGGGGTCTCAGCTGAAGCTCAGGGTGCCCTGGTGTGATGGGGGAGATTTGCAGTTTTCAGAGCTACAAGGGCTGCAGCTTTTCCCTTGGTGAAGGAGGTGATCTGGGCTGGCAGTGAGAGCCTGCATCCCTCCAGCAGCACCTTTTACAGGAACCTATTGAGGAAAGTCAAAAGCAATAAGGAAAAACCTCCCCAAAATTCTCAGTTGTCCAGGGGGAGCATAGCTTGGAGGAGCTGAGCTCACATTGTGCAGTTGCTGGTTTGCAAGTGGCACCCCTGGTGTGAGGCAGCATCCAGAGGGACTGTCACCATCCCATCATCCCTGCAAACAGGTCCTGCATCCCCCCTGCTCCTGTCACCTCTGTGAGGGAAGGACAGACGGATGCTGCCATGCAGGGACCTGCATAGGTGGGAGCTGGATCCTTGGCTGGTAGAAACACCTGGCTCACTCCATGCCGGGATTGTGTCACTTCAGAGATCTGAGAGCAGCTTTTTGAAATAGTTAAACTCTGCAGCCATGTCCCTTTCCTGTCCCTGCCACATGCCATGGCATCCTCCTCCCTGTTTGCACAGCCATGGGGTGATGTGTTTAGGGGCAGTGCCATGGTTGGCAAATTACCCCTGGTGTGTCACCCAGTGGGGATTGCTCAGCTGCTGGAGGAGAGGGAAGAAAGGCTGCTGCAGTGGGGAGGAGATTAATTTTGATTATTGCAATGATATTTAGTACAGTGCAGTTGCCACCTTACACCAAAGCCTGCAGTGTCATCCAGAGGGATGCTGCAATCACAGCAAACCATTTTATCCCAGCACACAAGGGCTGAACTTTGCAGCCAGCACTGGAAAAAAAAATTGGCAGAAGTTGCAAAAAAGCCTTTTCCCTCTGCCTTGCCTGTTATTTATTAATTCCCCTGGAAGCTGTCGGCACCAGGGCTGGCAGCAGGCACAGAGCCCCACGGGTGACCCCGGGCAGGACCCTTATTTATCAAGAGCACAGGAACAGCAGTCCCCAGTGAGATGTATTTTGTGATGTGTGCAGTGATGAAAGAGAGAGAAATACAGTCTAAGGATTCATGATAAGGGATTTTTCTAACTCTCCTTAGCAAGTGCTGCTTCTGGGTGGGTTTTTTTAAGGAAAAAAGATGTGTTCTGGGTAAACCAAGCTACCCCAGGCTGGAGGGCAGCTGCTGCCTCAGGAATCAGGGACACTCCTGTCAACTCCTTGAAAATTGGGGATGTAGTTGTTATAAGTCAAATTCTGGCAGGGATTTTGGGGCTGCTCACATGGAGTTTGAGCTGGATACCATCACTTTCCTGCAGGCCATGTCTTGCCTGTTACCTTCCCTGTCCAACCCCATCCATCTGGAGCGGGGGAGAAGGTGGGAAGGCAGCCCTGGGACGGTGGCTGTGATGAGAAGTTTGGTCCTTGCTCATTGTTTTGAAGGGATTTATGGGTGTGGTACATGGGCAGTGTGTGAGCCCATGGAGCAGTGTCCATGTCTCTGGCTGCAGCAGGGCTGGGGCTCTGGGGTGATGGGAGGATGCAGTGAGCTTCTCCTCTCTGAGCCACTGCCTTTCCCTGCATGATGCCTCATTGGGAGCAGTGAGGAGGGTCCTGCCTACTCACCTTCCACATGGCTCCACCTCAGGCTGGATATTAGGAAAAAGTTTTTCATGGAAAGAGTGATAAAGTTCTGGCATGGCTGCCCAGGGAGGTGGTGGAGTCCCCATCCCTGGGTGTGTTTAACAAAGCCTGGATGTGGCACTGGGTGAGGTGTTGGGGCTGGGTTGGACTTGATGATCCTGAATGTCTCTTCCAACCCAGTCATTCTGTGAATTCTATGAATTCATCCCTTTTCCCAACTCTTGCAGAGACCTTCCTCACCCAGGGACCAGCATCCTCCTCCTCATCCCACAGCCTGAGCTGCCACAGCTGCAGTCAGGCCAGCTCTGTCACACAGGATCCCAGGTTCCTTCTGGGATCAACCCAAGAGCAACCACTCTCGGTAACAAAACCATGGAGCTGCCTTGCTTTTGAACCCTCACCAATACTTTCATTTCTCATTTTGCCCTTCCTTTCAGGAGAAGAGGACAAGAAATGAACGACCTGAGGGCAACTCTGAACTAGAGGATCCCTAACTTGTCCCTGGGACTGAAGTCTTGCATGCGTGACCATCGCTAAAGCCAGCAGGACATGCATGTGTCCGACTCTCAGACAAATGCGGGTGAATCGTCGAAAAGAAAAAAATCCTGATTTTTGTTTTGTTCTGTAGCTTTCTTTTTCCTGTACATATGAGTGCAATTACTGGACAGCTGGCCTAGAGTTTGGGGATGGAGCTGTGTGGATCTGAGTCATTGTAATGTGGTTCCTTGGGATTTGTTTGTGCCAAATTTGAGACCCTCTTTGCAATTTTCACCCTGACTGAGTGAGCACGGGCAAGGTGGCCTTCATAAGAGATTAAGGCAGGAAGTTGGGATTTGAGGGCACATCCCCCAGTGGGATGGGATGCACAAGGCAGCTGGGAAGGGCTTGGCAGTGAGTGAGGGCAGGGAGAGAGGAGAGGGGGCTGTGTTGTTGAGCCTTGCTGATGTCCATAGTGTTGCTGCTGCTGTGCTCTGCTCTGGTGGCTGCAGCAGCTGGGCACGGCTTCAGAGTGTGTCCAACACTGGTGTGAACCTCATGGAGGTGTGTTTACACCTCGAGGTCAGGTGCATGTGGTGGAAGGCGAAGTTCTCCCTGTTTATCACGCTGTCCTGTTTGATCCCTGCATTATGGAAAGCCCAGCACCTTCTCAGGCTCATCCAGCACCAAAGCACGATGAAGTCTTGTCTGTTCTCCATCTGGCATCATGCTGGATCCCATCTGCACTATATAAGGCAGTCCTTCTCCTTGGAGGGGCAGCCATGTAAAGAAAAGAAAGGGGATGCCCACCTTGCATTCCTCATGTCCACCACTCTTTCCTGGTCACACTTTCTTTCCTCAGTGAATTTTTAACTATTTCCTCAGCAGTAGTACAGCTTAAGTTTTTAGGAGCACATCCATGGCTTGATGTGCTCTGCTTTGGAGAATATCACTGACTTGCACAGGGCATCCCTGCCAAGGGATCACGATGGCAATGAATGTATGCTTGTACATAACGTGGTCTTTTTCCATGAGTGGTGTTTGTTGTGGCATCCCTTTTTGTAAGGCACCAACTTTATCTTGCCCTCTGGGGATTTTCTCCACAGCAGGAGTCAGACAGTCTTCAGTGAGGATTTGTAGATCAGGAGTGGATTTTGGGATCCATTAAGTTTATCTTTCTCCATTGAGCTGCATCACTGAGAAGCTGATAGTGGGTGGTCTCTTCTCCAGCTCTCCAAATTCTCTCTCCTGTTTCCCTCACCATCCCCTAGGATCCATCCTGATGATATTTAGTTAGCCAGAGCCTGTATCTTTCCTTTCCCTTACATTCCAGCAACAGCACTAGAGCCAGGGTCTGGGATAGCATTTGCTCCTTTGCTGTTGGGTTTCCTCTTCTACTTTTTGCCTCTTCAAAGCTTCCAGTGTTTTTCTGTATCATCTGTGCAAGACCATCTCTCCTTCCATACAGTAGGTGCCAAATATCATCCCTCCTTTCTTTTCTCCATCACCAGCATTGAAGATGAGCAGAGCCCCCAGACCAATGGGAATGTACAGAATTGTTATACTACTGAGCTGATTTATTGTACAGAAAAAAAACCTTGCATGAAATGTTGTTACTGTATTTAATATATAATGTATTCAAGAAATTTTAATATGGAGCTCTTTAAAAAAGATCTTTATAGATACTCTGTCGTTAGAAAATTGTTGCTGATTTTTTAAAATCTTATTATACTTTGTCTTGAAGAAGTTTTATTTTTCAAATGTGTTCTGTCAAAATGATTTAATCAGTTGATCCCATGGGATAACCAATTCCTGTTCAAAGATTTTCACCATGGATGAGACCCACCCTGGTGTAGAGGACCAGGACATGACCCAGGTACTGTATAAGCCAAAATAAGGCTTCAGTAAGACTAATGCTGTAGACATGTGATTTGCCTTTCCTCAAAAGGGTGGATTTCACCTTATTTTAGTACAGGTCACAGAACTAAAGAATTGTTTAAGTTGGGAAAGACATCCAAGATGATTGAGTCCATCTCCATTGTTCTGTGCAGAAAAACAGCCAGTGGGAATTTAGTCCAGTTCCAGCTCAGTGTCATCAGAGGAGGCAGCTTCTCTGTTTCTCTGAGGCTGACATCTATTTTGGGAGAGGCTGGGCTGGATTCAGAGCTGGGCTGGATTCAGAGCATCCCAGCCCCGTTTGGAGGGTCCAGCAGGGCCTGCAGCCTCCCTGGTCCCTTGTGCCTGCAGGAACCTGCTTGGTCCATCCACCTGCTGAGTTACACTGCTTTCCCTGCACCTAATGTCAGGTGGAGGGTTATGAATTTAACCCAAATGTGTGTGGTGTGGAGAAGTTTCTTGTGTGAAAGCCCAGGCAGTGTCAGTCTGTTCATGCAGCCATTGGGTCACAGTTGTGAGTTACCAAAGCCTGAACCATCATGGGCAAGAAACCAGAGCTGTGTCCCAGCTTGTTCTTCCCAGCAGCAGCAAATTGTGTTTTATTTCTATTGGGAGCCTTCAAGCTATCTAGAAAATGCCCAGGTAATCTGCATTAGAGCTGCCTGGAGCAGGTGGGACCATTTTGACACATCCCCATTTCCCTTCTGAATGGTTCACCACATCTCTTGTCTCTCCCCACATCCTTTAATTACTTGGAGTACAGGTTTCACCCCATACTTTTGATTACAGAGGCTCATACTTCAAACACCTCAATGAAGTAGAAAAATATCCATAGATGTAAGTATTTTTTCCTTTATTCTTCGGTGAAAGGTCAGGATAGATCACAGAGTAGTTATTTATTGCATGTGTGCCAGCAGCAGCATGCTGGGAGCTTTTACAGGCTGGAACATGTTCTTTTGTAAACTTGGAGGTCCCAGAGCCAAGACCATCACTTTGGGAGAGGCTCTTGTGTCTTACCAAGGCATCTGACAGTGCAATACAAGGGAGATGGACGCTGGGTGGCTGTTTTGCCCTAAAGCTTTTTTCAAAAGGCAGCTTAGGGGAAAACCTCTGGGATCCTTGCTGTTCTTGGCAGCAGAGGTTAGAAATTATTTCCTTTTTAGTTTTATTTTGATGGTGCTGCCTGGCATATTCTAAGCCTATAAATAAAACTCAGTTCTTTCCAGCAAGACCTTTAGGAGTGGTGGGCTGCTGTGACAGATCCTCCACAAGATGCAGGGCAGAGGAGGTGCTGGATGGCAGCATGGGGTTGTGATTATCCATGAGCACTTTATACTCCTTCCTCAGGGGCCAAGGTGGGAGGGAAAGGTCCTGTGTTCCTGGGCTGAGCACCAGGGGGATCAGCTGTGGTGGAAACTCTTTTCTGTTTTGGGGCATTGTGTCATTGCTGGATGAGCTCTTCCCCCTGTGGTGTGTGATCCCATGGGGATCCCACGTTGGAAAAGGAAAAAGAGCAAAGTGCTGCGTCCTGCATTTTATTTGTGTCGTGTGGGCCAGGTCTGGGTGAGGTTTGTGTTGGTGTGTTTGGGGTTTGGGCACTGTGAGCATCCTGTGTGTGTGTTTCTGGTGATGCTCTGCTCAGCCAAGGCTGGATGGCACCACCAGGCACTGGGAGGGCAGCAGGAGGGACAGGCTCTAAGGAGGGGCTAGGGGACTTCATTCCTGTAAAACCATCAGAGATTGCGTTGGATTTTCTGCTCATGGAGATGGCAGAAGGAGGAGCAAGAGGAAAACTCAGCATTAATTTTTGGTCCTTCTTTTGTACATCAGGTTGATAATACTGCTTCCCAGTCAGGGTCCTGCTCCACCAAAACTCACCAAATAATGATTTGAGCTGTGCAGGGGCCCTGGCTGGGAGATGTCCATGAGCTTCAGTGACCTTGGCATTACATCACTCCTGAAACTCAAACACACCCAAGTCCCCACTACCAACTCCTGAGACTTACTGTGATTTCTGGACCATACCTGGCATGGCCATCACTTATAAATGTATAAATGATGCCAGAGATTCAGCCCCATCTGGGCTCTTTTTCCTCCCACTTCTGCAGTGACATTTTGGGGAAACAGCCTGGGAGTACTGACCAAGGAAAAGGCTTCACCCCATGCAGATCTTGTGAGGCACAGTTGGGGTTAGGATTTGCAGGGCTGCAGTGAGGAGATACAGGGTAAATTGTGCTCCCTGGACCTTTTCTTGTGGTGCCATTCAGCTTTTGGTGTGAGTGGAGCATTAAATGAGCCAAAATCTGTGTGTGCCTGGAGTGATGGGCACTTGGGACCAAGAGAAGGGCAGCCAGCAGGTGCCCTCAGTGGCTTCAGTCTGGGAATATGCTGATTTTTTTATATGAGATGCCTGAACAGCCAAATGTAGAAATCTCTGAGATTGTGCTTCATAGTAAAAGGTAAATTGTTATATCTTGAGGGGTGGGAGGGTGTTCTCTGAGGGACAGAACTGAAAGAAATGAGGTTTCCTATTTTATTATATGAGAGATATTTTTCCACTAAATTCCTGCTTCCTAAACCATGTCCTTTGTCTGACTGTAAATAGCCAGGTGTGCCGGGAAGACGTGGGAAGGCTCCTTGAGGTCACATCCATACAATCCACTCTGTTCACACAATATTGGGCTGATTTGTTTTATACTTAGAAAATTACAGAAATAAAAGCAATTTTACTGGATGACTGGGGGGTTTTGTGTTTATTTGGTTGTTGTTGTTTTACCTTTTTGGGGTTTTTTTGCTTTTCTTGTCCCATTTGTGGCTGATTTGGGGGATATTTGGGAGCCCATGGAGCCATACGGGAGTGCCTGAGGGCATTCTTCAGCCGTAAAAGGAGTTGTGCTCACCAGATCAGGATTTCTTGTGGGTTTTCAGAGGAGCCAAACTAGAAATGGAGCTGAGCTTGTGCCTGGCATGGGATGACAAAGGCAAAATGAGCGGAGTGGCATAATACGACTGTTGGGAATTTTTAAATTCACTCTTGGGGCACGAGAATACAAATAACAGTGCTAATTTTGACTGTATCCAGAATAGTCATCACCTTATCTCCCCCAGCTGGGAGGGGGGGTTTAAATAAGCCCTGCAATAACCTCTACAAGAAATAATTGTGAAATAAATAATAATTAAATAGCTTGGCCTCATCTGGGGGTATGGCATAGGGCTTGGGGCCATGCAATTCCATCTCGGCATCACCCAGAGCTCTGCCCATGGTGATGTTTGAAACAAAATCCTGATCCAGCTGCAGGTCCTGTTTTGGAGCAAATCTGTGTTCATGGCAACATCTACCTTGGTGCTTTTTCACTGGGATGTGGCCCCATGTGTTCCTTCCCAATGCTGTGAGCAGGACAAAGAAGGTGCACAAGGTAAGCCAAAAGCTTTGTGACCCACAGGGGGTTGCAAAGAGGGACGTGGGATACCCTGGCACATGCTGTTTTTGGGAAGGAGCCATTGCTTGGCCTCCTCTTTGCTGGCGCAGACTGATGTCAGAGCAAGAGGAACCCCACTGCCATGGCTGCAGGTGACCCTCAAGCCAGTCCCCCATACCAGAAATGCTGTCTCAGGATACAGCGGTGAAGGCAAAACCACCCCAAATTGCCCATCTGATGTTGTGTCACTCCCTGGACCCCTGGGTACCATTACTTGGGGCTATGCTTGTCTTTTGAAGGCATGATTCAGAAAACAGGTGTCACTCTACCAAAAAAATCCCAAGGGTCCCTGTATCCCATGGCACAGGTCCAGCCCCACACTGGATGTGCATCCACATTTCTGGAGCCACTGACACCTTTTGGTACCCCCAGCACCTCAGGCTCACGTTGGCTTTGGCATCAGCTAAACTGAATATTTCCAGGGAGATGTGTTGTCACAGCAGCTGGGGATGGAAATGCCACTTTGAGGGGTGAGCACCACCAAAAACATCTCGTGCCAGGGCGTTGCAGCACGGGACAAGTACAGAGCCCAGCCAGCCCTGCTGGGAGGGAGCGAAGAGAGGTCAAGGACAAGTTAAAATTGGAAAGAAAACTGAACATGCTGTTTTGGAGGGCCTTGCTTGCTGTTATCTGCCAATTTTTTTCCATCCTCCCCTTCCCATTGCCAGTGGTGCAGTGTAAGCACCTCCTGCAACTGGTGAGGACAAGGGGCCTGTGGCAGCCAAAATTATTGGGAAAAGCCAGCAGCTCTCAGGGGTAACCTCAACCACAGCAGGTCCCCTCTGCACCCACCCTCATATTTTAAACTTTGCCTCCATGTTACTCCTCCCCATCCATGGATCTTCAGCATGCCACACATTTTTGTGCTGAAATTCAGAGCTCTGTGCTAGACGCTGCCAAGCATGAGTCTGGGTTGTGCAATGAGCTTCATCTATTATTTTTCTATTTTCTTTTCCCCCTATCAATGTCTGAGAGCCTGAAAATACCTGGTGGCTTTTATGCCTAACACAGTGGTGCTTGCCTGGGTGTGGGTAGGCTTGAGCCCCATGCAGAGGTTTTCAGAACCCTCTTTGTGCTCCAGCAGTTCCTGTCCCAGCTCAAAGCAAGGATGCACTTGCATTTCCAAATGTCTCCCTTAAAAACACCAGATGTTTCATTTTTCTCTCAGCCCCAAGCACAGGCTGAGTGTGTTTCATGGGCAGGGGGAATGAGTTCCTTTCACAGCATGGATTGACTCCTGTGCTACCCCTGCATAGCATTGCCAGGGGTGCCCTTGCAGGGTCACCAGCCCTCAGTGCCCTTGGCACCTGGCCCAGCTGGAGATGCTGGATGAGGCCAAAGCCTGGCACTGGAGATCAGTCAATGCCAGCTGACCCAGGAGGGTGTTTGGGAAATCTGGCCCCAGGTCTTTGCAATCTCAGACACAAACACAGGGGCTTTAGAGCCTCATTTGCTGTTTCTGTTTTCATTTTCCCTTCCCGTGGGCAGTGGAGCTAGATGGGCTTATTTTCCTTATCTCAACCTGGTTTTAGAGTCATAGAATCACAGAATGGTTTGGGTTGGAAGGGGCCTTAAAGATCATCTTGTTCAAACCCCCTCCCATGGTCAGGGACACCTTCCACTAGACCAGGTTGTTCAAGGTCTCGTCCAGCTTGGCCTTGAACACTTCCAGCTCCACTCTTTGTGTCCCAGTGTGGTCCCACTTGGTCCTTTGTTTTCATGCTGCTCAGGTCAAGTCCAGTTCAGCACTTTCTGTGCCCTTGGGCAAAGCCATCCTGAGTGCCCAGGACCTGCTGAAGATGAACTCAAGCTGCCACTCCTCCTCCAGCAGCACCAGCACCTCCTCACTCCAGGCAGAGCATCCCCAGTGCCTCCTGCCTGCTCTGCTTGGAAGCAGCCAAGAGGTACAAAAGTTATTCAGAGGAGGCTGGGAGTGTATTGGCAGCACCACACCAGTTGGTCTCTGAAGGAACCTAAGATAAAACCATCCCCAAGGTGCCAGCTATATGTGGGAACTGATTTAGAGAGTTCTGGGACACCCCCAGGCTGCACCTTACACAGTAGACTGATAAAAACCTCTTCCTCTTAATTCTATCTTTATTTTTTTTCATTTGGGTGTTAGAGCAATGCATTTATTATCACAGCAAACAGACATCCCAACCTGGCCTCAGCACAGCCCAGTGCCTGCACCACAGCTGGAAGCATCAGAGCCCCATGATCTCAGCACCTCTGCCAGTGAGTGCCCTGTAAACACCTGAACAGCCCAAGCAGGGCACTGTCCCTCGATAACCACCTGGCAGAGGCAGGGAGGTGTGTTGGCACCATCTTGGCACCATTGCAGGGCCACACAGGTGAGCAATCCCTGTGCAAACTTACTAAATTCCCTGTGATAAAGTAATTTAAGGGGTGGCAATCCCAGGGATGGTGTGGGTGTGGGAGAGGTGTGAGCCCACAGGTGTTGAGGCTGTGTTTTTTTCAAGCATTTGGATGCTGTGGCAAAGTGGGTGCCCATACTGGATGCTGGTATCAGCCCAGGAAAAGATTCAGGCCCTGTTGGTGCTCCAGGCTGGGGTTTTCTGCTCTCCACATCACTCCAGACGGGGTCTGGCCCCACTCTCCAGCTGCAACATGGCTCCAAGAGATTATAAAATGGCAGATGCCTATTATCTCCCAATGGAAAGTATTTTAGCTAAACCCATGCTATATCCATTTTATTGACTCCAAGTACTAGAGAGGAGGTTAGAAGTGACTTTTTTACAAGTCATTTTGCTGTTAAATTTAGCTGTCCTATTTTCATTATCCCCATGGCCTTGGCAAGGGTGAGCAGCCTTCCCTAAAAGGCCTCGTTTCATACAGTAAGTTATTTGCTTCTCTCCTGACAGATATCTAAGCTTATAAGGTTTGTCTGCTCCACTCAATAGCAGTATCAGCCTTCAATCTACATGATTAACATCAGCATTTTGTATTTGCTTTTGGCTCCTTGTCTGACAGCTTTCCATGTTGCTGAGGACCGGGGCATTGGGATCGCATCACGTCACTTGCAACGTGGGATCATCTGATTTTGATTCCCAGGCTTCATGGTACGCCCAAAAGATTCAGACAAATGATTCAGTTGCTTTTTCCCCAGTTTTCCTTATTGCCCAGCAAAGATAATTGATTTTTCCCACTTATTTCACAGTTGTCAGGTCTGTAATGTATTGAGTCGAAAGGTAAATGTGACAGTGGGCAAGCTGCAAGTGAACTTGAGAGGTGGTGATACTAATAGAAATATTCCTGAAAGGAGAGATTTATCCCAGCAGGTGAAGATTTTCCCTACTTTCAAAACCTATTCCTCCTGCAGAGAGGGCCTTTATGCCAGGCTTGGTGGCTGCAGAGAGCCAGTGTCTCCTTTGAGGCCAAGGGAGGCAGCAGATTAACTGAGGCTCATGGAGCCTGTCCCTGCCTGGAGTGCTGAAGAAGCTGAGTGCTGGGACTTCTGGGATAAACATCCTCTCTTTCTCCCCAAAAAAAAACAAAACCAGTGCTCCCTTCTCAGTCCCAGTGCTCCCCAGCACAGAGGGTGCCCTGGAGCGGCCCAGTGGGATGCACTGAGGGCACAGGGTCCCCCATCCACAGCCTCTGTGCTTTCTCCAGCAATGAGCAATAACCCCCTTCAAAGCTCCCCATTGCAGCTGTTGGCCCCCCAAATTTCAGTCTGGCACTGCTGTCAAATCCAGTCCCTTTCTCAGTGATATTTGTTTCAAGTGGTGTCTGCACCACCCTGCAGAGCATCGCTCGCAGTGACCCCAGCTCGCCTGGCCCTGCTCACATCCAGGCCATTCAGGAAATGCTGGAAATGCTTCCAAGTGCACCCAGCCCAGCCCAGTGCAAGTGCTGGGAAGGAGCCAAGCCCCAGCTGTCTGGCCTCACCATGGGAGGGGGCCAAGCTGGGTGCCCTTCTGCTCCGTGGGTCAGCTCTGAATTGCTGAGCTGGGCTTTCTGGTGCTCCCCCTTCTCTTTCCCGACCCTTTTTTGGGAGACAGAAGAGGACATGGGCTCAGGACACACACCCTGAGGTGGCTGTTGTGGTAGGAAAGATACCCCAATCCTAATTCCTAAAATTTCTCCCGGGACCCCCACAATCTCTCCCATCCCACTGTTGCCCCCAGGAGTGCCTCGTAGTCTCTGCTCATCCCAAGCCCTGCCTGCAGCCTCTCTGTCCCCAGGGAAGGCTCCTGCCAGGCGAGGGAGCATCGCTCACAGACAGATGGCTTCG